CTTTATCACCTAGGTGAGTTATGTTGTTATGAAAGGAAATCAGTTTTGATAAGCAAGTCTTTCCTCTCAGGAAGCTGTGCTGGCTGCGACCAGTGACAGCGTTGTCTTTCAGGTGTTTTTAAATACTTCCCTGAACAATCTTCTCCATTAGTTTTTACCAGGCACTGAAGTGAGACTGACAGGTCTGTAGTTTCCAGGGTCCTCCTTCCTGCCCTTCTTGAAAATCGGGACAACATTTGCTAGCTTCCAGTCAGCTGGGATCTCTCTGGAATCCCAAGACCATTCAAAAGTCATCAAGAGAGGTTGTGTGATGACATCAGGCAGCTCTTTGAGGATTCTGGGATGAATCCCATCAGGCCCTATAGATTTGTAGGGATCCAGCTGGAGCAGCAGATTCTACACAATTTCAGGGTCGACTGGGAGTTGATCATTTTCGCAGTCATGGTCCAACAGCTCAGGGCACCAAGACCCCCTTGGCCCGTCAGCTGCATTGAAGACAGAGACAAAGAACACCTCTGCCTTGTCTCTGTCCCTGTTTGTGAGGTGACCATCCTCATCCTGTAACAGGCTGATGGTATTTCTATCCTGCCTATTGCCATTAATGTATTTGAAAAATCTCTTTTTTATTGTCCCCCCATTTCTCATCAGCTTCAACTCCTGTTGAGCTTTGGCCGCACAAATTTTCTTCGTACAGCTGTAAGCAACGTCTCTGAATTCTTCCCATGTCACTTGACCTTGCTTCCTCTGGGCATACACCTTCCTTCTTTGCCTTATTTCCAAGAGAAGATTCCTTTTCAGTCAAGCCGACCTTCTGCCTTGTCTGCTTGACTTCTGACATTTGGGCATTGCCTGCTCCTGTGCCCTTAGGAGGTGATGTTGGAAAAGTGACCATCACTGCTGGACCCCAGCACCTGCAAAAATGTTTTCCCAGATGACCTTACTTACTAATTCCCTGAGAAGCCTGAAGTCTGCTCTCCTCACATCCAGACTTTAGGTTTTGCTGGCACTTCTCCTGTCAACAGAGATCTTAAATTCAGTCTTTTTCTGGTCACTGTGGCAGACAGCCACTAATCTCCACTTTGCTCACAAGATTCACTCTGTTGATAAGCAGCAGATCAAAGAGGGCAGTTTTCCAAGTTGGCTTCTTTAGGACCTGTTCCATAAAATTGTCATCCAGATATTTTAGGAATCTTCTGGTCTGGGCTGTACCAGCTGTGTGGTGCTCCCAGTTAATTTCTGGCAAATTGATGTCCCCCATAAGAACAAGGGCAGTTGATCTGGAAGTGTCTCTTAGTTCCTCAAAGAATAATTCGTTGTCATCATCGTTCTGGCTGGGAGATCTATAGCAGACCCCCACAATGACACCCACATTATTTGTTTGCCCCTTGATTCTTATCCAGAGGCTCTCAATTGTGCCATTGCCAACTGTGAGCTCCATACGTTCTAATCCTTCTATTACACACAGTGCCATCCCTGCACCTCTTCTGCTCTGTCTATCCCTCCTGAAGAGCCTGTAACAACAATCCAACAGGGCAATCCTGTCACAGGACTTATCTCACCAGGTTTCAGTTATGCCAGTGATGTCAAAATGCTGGGACCAGACCAAAGCTTCGAACTCCTCTTGTTTGGCAGCCCCTGGAAAGGGAGGAAGAGGAGTCTGATGGCTGAAGCAAGGACTTGAGGATTTGCTTCCAGCTGTGATGCTGACTCTCCCACCCAACCTGACAAAAAGGTTTTTTGAACTTGGCAGACGGTTGCTGCCTGCCATGGCTAGTTTCCTCCCCTGAGGAAAGCAAGCAATTCCTCATTTGATGCATCTGCACCAGGTACAATGTTCTTGAATGTCTGAGACTTCTTTCCTTCCCCTCCCTCTGATTTTTGTGTTTAGGCAGGCAGGATCATAGGGCAATGTGAATGCTTGCTCCAGAGGGGGCCAGAGGAAGAAAAACCGATGACCAAATAACTTCAGAAGAACGGGAATTGCCTTCAGGGGGCTCCCCTTCATCCTGCGTTCTCATCAGCTGAGAGATATTCAACATCGTCCTGCTCTGCTAGTCGCTGAATATTTTATGCCATGGCTACAACCAGTCCATTTGTATTCTGTTTCTCTCTTTCGTCATATCTATTATAAACGAGTAGTGTCTGGGAACTCTCCCAGGGAAGATTTGCCTGGATGGCTATGGATATTTTATAGTCAAATTGTGAGAGTAAACTAGCTTTCAAGTTCTGTAGAGGGGGGAAAAAAGGTAATAAAAGGGTTATTAAAAAAATAAATAAATGTCGGGATTTTATATGGCTTCTGTCCGTAGTGACAGAGCTTTGGTTTGCTCCAAAATGGAGCTAGGGTTGCTAGGAAAAGCTTGGGCTGGGAGATACCCTCTTGCAGGCACTGTCTGCCAAGAGAAACAATCTGATACGCTCTTGCTAAGTGCTACGGTTGGCTCAGCAGGGCTGGCACCTGGCTCAGTAGGACTGTGCTGGCACTAGGTGAGCCAGGGGTTGGGGCCATGACTGGAGGCATCAGGGATAGCCAGATATGTGGGAAGCAAGGCATGGCTCAGGATTGTAGCAACCCCATCTTTACCTTCATAATGTTGGATATGTGATACGGGTAGGAGGGCAGGGTCTGTCTCCTCATTTGACAGAGGGTCTACTGAGTCCTACACTCTCCTCTAACCCATGGCTAAAGAAGAAACGCTGAATAAACTTGCTTTACCCTAAAAACTCTGAAAGGACTTCAGCCACTAGGGGTATCAAGCCTGGTACCATCCAAAAAATGTACAGCTTTCTGGAAGGGTTTCACAACTTCCATACAAGCAAAACCAGCCAGGGAGTAATCAACATGCATTAGAAATTTAGATCGAGGTGGTGAAACAAGCATGTCCCGAACGTGGGTTTATTTGTGCACGTGCAGAGATGAGGAGAGCTATACCAGAGTGTTGCCAGTGTGGCAGTAAGGAAGAAGATCAAGTAGCGTAAGAGTTAGTAATTATCACAGTGGGAATTATGAAAACCAGACAAGTTCCGATTACTAGGCATTCTGATTTTTCCTGTGGAGGTCTCAGTTTCACCCTGCTGCCACAATATGTAGAAGAGAAGCCAAAATGGTTACAGAATATTGTGACCGGCACTGAAAGAAACTCCAGTGTTGAGCAGATACAAGATACCGAGTTTCAATCTGCAAGAGATACATAGTGGGTTTGCTAGACCGAGTCATGTATTGCACATATTCACGTATTCTGGGACAAGAGAAAAAGAACATTTTCTCATTTAGTTCTCTTTCATTCTCTGACTCTATCTAGTCAGTCTAATTTTAAAATAATTTATTCCCTCTCAGCTCAGCAGCACCCATACTGGAAATAATCATTTGACATTAGAGTCTATCCACCTTGCACAAATTTATCAGCCCCTTTGTGCAACAAAAGCAAAATGGAGAGCAGGCAGGGGCCACAACATTAGGTATGAAGAGAAAAATCAACAGATGTAAAAGGCATCTGAAGCTGAGAAACAGAAAATGGTACTTAGTGGCTTTCTTAGATTTTGGGAGTTACTGTAGCTTTTGCTCTGGGTAATTTGGTGGTGGAGCAAATGAGTAAAGAGTTAAAATGCTAAAAGCAAAAAACCCATAATGAATTGATTCCCTGGTATGTCCAGTTCATCCCATTTCCAGACAGACTGCCCAATGAGAGCTGTAAAACAGAGCTCTTGTCCAAAAGCAAGCAAAAGTTGATGGTTTTTACTTTACCTGTGAATGAACTTGGGATATGACACACAGTAGTATTTTCAAAGCAAAGAAAGCAAAAGAGGCCTCCTCTCCCTACATCTTTCCTTGCCAGTCTCCCACCAGTCTGGTCCAGTCTTCACTGAAATTACAAAAAATGAGACCCCTCTCCAAGCCTCCAGGACATGCAGGAATTAGGCAGCAGAGCTGACTTACCATGAGGGCTAGCTGCAGGAACATGCGAGTTTGCCAGACATCATTAACAGCTGGACTCGGTCAGCTAAGCGGGACCAGCAAGTTCAGGAAAACCTGGTGTGAGCCAACATTGACAGTGCTCTTCTGTCTGAGCATCCTGCCCCTGCCAGCTTGACTACAGCATGGAGCAGCCTGTCTGCAGGGGAAATAGAGGTGTGTGCAAACACCTTTGACCTAGTCTGACCCCTCAGAAGAAAGACACAGACGGAGACCTGCTCAGTGAACCACAGACCAGCCCCTAGCCCCCAGCACCCATGGTTGTCAGGGTTTCAGCCTTGCCCAGATTTTGTAGTTAAACTTCTCAGTTGTGCCACAAGTGAACAGAAATGTGGTGACCAGACTCAGGAGTGTATTTCCTCCCAGTGACATCTACAGTGCTGAGCAGAGAGCTGTTAATTAACCCCGTTTATTGAAGGGCGGACACATTCCTGCCTGGGCCCTGATTTTTCAGTCAGGCTCCAGTCCAGCAGGTGATTAATAACCCAGTGTGCTGTGGGAAGAGTGCATCTATTATTCAAATTAATGAAATTATAATCAAGAGGTGACAAATTAGCAATTGCTCCTTGACTGGATATGGAAACTCATTAGTGTGCCAGGCATTTCTGGGGTGCTCGCTGCATTCACAGGCTTACAGTTAGAGAAAAGGGAGTTGGGCAGACCAGACAGCCCCTTGGCACAGCTGGGGGAACACACATCTTGCCCACCCTAAAATAGCTACAGCCACTGCAGAGTTCTCTGGTCCCACAAGACCCCTTAACCTCCACCTCTTCTTCATTGGACAGACTGATTGCAAGGTACTGCCCCAAGGACGGGCTGCAACAGTCTCAAAGCCCTGACACTGCTGGGCTGTGTTATGGGACAAGTATTTGAAAGCAACACCCCACCCCGGTGCTGTGAACACTGGAGTAGAACTCCTGCCCTCCTGAATCGCTGGTTGCAGGCACAGGTGGTGGAGTGAGAGGCTGGAGAACTTCCCCAACAGCCTGCTTAAGGCTGGGGTTACCCTTCCCTGGAGGGTACTCACCGATGTGCTTCCCATACATGTGGTAGTAGAAGGAGACACAGTAGTACTTGGCAGTAATGTTGTAGAGGGGGCTGATGAGCCGGGCTTTGTCTCCTGTCACCCGGGGCCGGGACGCCTCAATGAACATGTAGTAGCCTACAGAACAAGAGAGAAAGGTGGGGAAAGGCAGCATGCACTGTTTCTCCCTTCTTGAAAGCAATGGGAAGCCAGTGGCTGGGAAACTACTCCTCCTCTGGGAGACATGGCCTTGCTCTTCCCAACTGCTCTGCATCCAGTGTGATCCTGGCCAGAGACACTTGCAGGATGTCTGCAGTGCCTCTTCTGCCTTTACAGTATTTAGGGGAGAGCGGGAGAGATGGGCATCTGCAGACCGGCGCTGTGAGCGCCTGCAGCAGGTGAATCCCTGAACGTGCACACACACACATCTGTCTGTGTGCAAAATGAGCCTTCCTGCTGCAGCACAAGGACCCCAGAACTGACTCCATGGTGTAAGGAGAAAACCAGAAAGAGAAGGCAGAAAGCATTCCCAACTAATTTCTCCCCCTCAAGCAGAGAGAGAGAGGATTCGGTATATCTGGCCTAAACAATATTGTTGTCTAAAGAGAACAATACTAACGTAGTAGTTAACAGCCCAGGGAGGAACAGATTAGCTATTTAACTTGTTGACATAATTTTCAATGTTCAATCAGGTCGGTGTACTGAAAACTAATGGGAAAAGCCATTTCCTTAGCTGGCCATTGGATATTTCCCATTTTTTTTGGAGTTCAAAGATATGTACTTGCATACAAATTTACTTTCCTCGTTAGAGAAAGGTGGAAATAATATCCAGCTAAAACAAGAGCATGTGCTCCATTCACAGCTAGCATGAGCAATACATAACACCAGTCTCCTCCAGCTATGAGGTGAGGTGACTCCTGTCTCTCATCCTCCTGCTTGGCACTAAGAAGATCTGTTTGCCTCCCTGAGACCTTCTTTGAGGAAAGAGCTGGCTAAAACCAGCAGAGCCATTTCTAGGTGTTAGAGATGTTCTCGTACTTGTTTATCCTTTTTTAACTTCAAAACAAGCATCAAACAGTACAAGGGCATTAGGCAGCAGGCAATTAGCTGGTAACAAGAACTAATGCTCACACTATTCCCTTCAACAAAGTCGTGGGTGTTTTAATTGTGTGTTTAATGCCAATCAGTAACATGCAAATTAACTGCCTGCTCCCTGCACCCTGCGAGGAGGAGAAGTGTGCTGTGTGGAAAGCAGATCAGCCCTCCACCAGCTCCCAGAGCCGCAAGACTCCTGACAAGCAACGGCGTGCATCTCACCCCCCAGCCAAGCCGGAAGAAACCCAGATGTGTGCCTACCCTCCGGCGTACCGCTGATGTCCGTGGGGGGCCCGGTGTTGACGGTGCGCTTGGGGTTCTGGGTGAGGGCATTCTGCCGGGTCCAGTCAAAGTTGTCCATCTTGTCCTGCATGAAGCCGCAGATCTTCTCGTCCTCAAAGCGGCAGGTGTTATCTGTGGGGAAGGAAGGGAAAGGGCTGGTCAGCTGCTGCTTTTCAAACCTCGTCCCCAAGCTGCCTGGGTGCTCGCAGCACTGCTACGTCCCTGTGTTGAGCCAGGGGCAGATGGACAGCCCTCGACCTCAGGAGGAGGCTGAAAAGGAATGTATCACAGAAATCACAGAATGGGTTGAGTTGGAAGTGACCTCAAAGATCATCCAGTTCCAAACCCCCCGCCATGGGCAGGGCTGCCATTCACTACATCAAGTTGCTCAGGGCCCCACCCAATCTTGCCTTGGACACTTCCATAGATGGGGCACCCATAATATCTCTGGGCAGCCTGTTCCAGTGCCTCACCACTCTCTGAGGAAAGAATTAACTCCTAACATCAAATCTAAATCTCCACTCTTTTAGTTTAAAAATATCCCCCATTGTCCTATCACTACCCATGATATATCCATGATTAGTATTATTATGGAAGGGTTAATGCAGTCTGATGGATGTGATGGTCTGACAAAATAGAATAAAGCCAATATAGCTAAAGTGAAAGAGAGATTCTGCTGAGAGATCTGAAGGGGCAAATGTAGAGGAGGGTAAAAAGAGCACTGAAGGCAAACGGGCTACAAGGGCTTTTATATCAGAAAAACTTGATAGTAGAATAATTTCCCCAGGAGAGAGGAAAAAGCGCCAGCAGATGACCCCCCTTTAGGCTATATATTTAACTAAACTATGACACACATGAAAAAAAATCAGCTGTGGAGAAGAGGTCAGCTCAGTGTGACAAATGTGTCATTTGGCTAGAGTACATCCAATTTATATCAGCTAAAAGGCACATTTGATTTTGAGCTTATGCTGGTTCCCCTAACAAAATAAGTCATGTAGGTAAAAGATTTTCATGTAGGATCAGCCACATGTGCAATAGGGCTCGCTTTTATTACTACCACAAGACAGTTACACCCTACAGCAATATTGTAAGACAGGTGAAAAATCTTGTGCATAGACATAAACCAATATGGACTTGCAGAGACTGGAATGAATAGGACATAACAATGCTGAAGATTGTGACTTTTGTGTTAAAAAGGTAGTTCTTGAGTCACAAAAACAAAGGCCAAAGACCAGCTTTACGCTGCTGATGCAATAGGAGAGGGATGGATGAAACAGGCAGAAAAGAAAGAGAAAAGAGGTCCAAGACCCAGAATGAAAACTGCTCTGTGTTTTGAGAGGTCCCTGGGTAAAAACTCGAGCTGGGTGGAGAATGGGATGAGCATGGATCTCAGACGCTGCAAGTGGTCATCCAAACAGATATCAAAAGTCTGTACACCCCTGCCATCCCTGTGGCAGGGATTTGGGTTCCACCTTCTTGCCTGTCTCTTTCCAGCATCCCACCAACGTAGTGAGGAAAGAGGAGGCAGCCTTCTGCTGTGGTCAGCAAAAATGTCTTTGCTAGCATAGGCTAGACACTGTGTGGCAAGCCAAGGGCTTGGTTCACAGACCAGGGCAGCTGGGTTTTCCAAAAATTCAGCAGGAAATGCCTCTCTTTCCAGCTCTGCACAGCCATCAGGAGCTTGGCTGGGCTGGCCACTTAACTGCTGATTAACCCTGGCTAAGTGCTTTCCATTCAATCTGCTCATTTCTAATTAGCATCCAAATCCAAATTAGCCACTGCTCTGCAGTGCCTAGCACAGGGGTGGAATGGCATCTGGAGCTGAAGGAGAAGGGAGGAGTGGGGAGGAGATGATGGGGTAGATGCTGGCGGATGGGCTGAGACAGGGTAACTGCGTGGGATGGGGGGGCCTTTTTCATTCCTCAGCACAGGGAAATGGAAAGAGAAGAGTGGAAAAGTGGCTTCTAAGGATCCTTCTTCAGCTCTCATGGCCGAGAGAAGGGAGTTCATGATTGTACCAGATAGCCAGTGGTCTTCACAGGAGGGGCTGGAGCCCACAAGCTTGCTGATATTACTGGGTTGTGTAATACCCCTGTTTTCTCTCTGCTGGACCAAAGACAAGCATTTCCATGACTTCAGCTCATGGGTTGCCAGCTGCAGTTAGAAGAGACAAGTTTTCTCTTAGAATGGCATTATCCTACACAGCAGAATCACCATGACTCTCCTTTTGCAAAGGGACTGGGATTGTTTGCAGTTCTGACACTGTGATACACATGGACCTTCAGAGAAAGGTGACATCTTTCTCCAGCACAAAATTACCTTAACAGGGAATATCAGGTGTAAAGCAGAGCTGGAAGCTGTAACACAGAGGTCAGCCAGGCAAGTGATTGAGAGGGAACAAACCCACAAATGAGGAGGCACAGACGTCGAAGGAGAGGCAGATTAAGGAGAAAGCACAAGCTCAGGTGGAGATCAGAGAGAGCTGTGCAAGACAAGAGGACTGAAGACAGTATTCTCAGCTTAGCACCATGGTCTGGTTGTACCAGCTGATGGACTACTGTGCCTCATTTGTAAGAAGCCCCACACACCAATGGGATGAGACTGCTCAGAAAAGATGACTTGAAAGCCCAAAGAAAACTCTTTTAATGTCAAAACAGGGTCCTGATTGCATCCGCTGCTCTCACTCAAATGCAGCTAATTCCAGAAGGCAATGCTTCTAGCAGAGCACATAAAATAGAGAACGGTCCTATGCACCATGGATCAACCAATGCTGTTGCGTAACTGACAACATGATCCAGCTTATGTGCAACACCACTTGCTGTGCGGGAGTTTATAACTACAGCACATTACCTCTGCTTAGCTTGGCAGCTCAAGGCACTTTGCAACAACTAATGAACAAGGCTTCTTAACACCTCTATGGCATAGCAATGCTTCTTTCTATATATCTCCTGCCTTACACATGGGGAAATAGATGCCCAAAATGTGCCTATAGATAGGCACATTTAAGGTCACAGCAGACAGTATCTAAGCTGGAAACAGAACCCAAGTGCTCTGACTCCCAGTCCTTTGGTTTAAAACAAGCCACAGGAAGGCAAAGCTCTGTTGTTTCTCCGAGCTAGAAGTGGAGGTGCCATGAATAACTAGGAGATGTTCAATGTGGTTTGGGACACCACCAGCACATCACCTCTGTGTGGTTATCAGCAAAGCTTGCCAGGAGATAACTGGAAGATCCAGCCAAAAGAAAGACGTTTAAATGGCTTGCTGTGTCTCAAGAGGCCACAAAGGTGACCTGACTGATGACCCCAGCTGTGTGAAGTAAATCTTCTTGAAGATTTACTCCATCTGCCAGGGATCCTGGCTCAGTACCATGGTGCAAAGTGGTGCAATTAAGAAGTGGATTTAAACATTGAAGACAGAATTTGTTTTCTGGATTGTTATATATGAGGTGGAGGTGGCAGAGGAGCTGGTTCCTCAAAGGCTGTCTTCACCAAACAGATTTCCTTGGTAAGTTTTGCAGTGGAGGCAGCTCAGTGCAGACATATTTGCACCTGGTTACAGACCTCTCCATGCATTCCCAGGGGAGAGATCCTCTGCTGTGGCTATTAGCATTTCTTGTTGCTTTGCCTTCTTGAGGAATATAATGGAGATTTTCCTTTCAAGTCCTTAGGGGGAAACCATCCCTGGTTCTGAAATGCTGATGCCAGATGAATACAAAAAATAATAATCCTATTCTAGCTGCAGCCTATGGGTGATGGAGTGCACTTGAATAAAATTGCCTGCATCATTTAGCTGTGGTCTGAAGACTGAAACTGGCTTAGTGCATAAAGAAACATGCTCCAAGCCTCGGCTCCGTTGCAGACCTCTTGACTGACCCACAGGCTATCACCTTCTCTTTGGACATCTGTTTCCCCACCTAGAAAATGAAGACAATGAAAACTGTATTGAGACCTCAAAGTATATTGTGAACTAAGCAAAAACATTTAATAGTCTCTTCCATTGTAATCTTCTAGAGCATTAATCACCAGTAATGGAAGAAAGCTTCACAACAACGTAACTGGATAGGTCATGCTGGATTGCTGTCTGGTTTAATATCTCCATCTGCAACAAGGGGATAATATGGTCTACAGAATTCTATTTGCCATTACGATACAAAAAATTGTCACCTTTTTTAACCTTTGCATTACACACATTCCTGAAGGATGGGTACAGATTTGAGTAATCCAACTCTACACAGGAGGCTGGCATCTCATTCCCACATGTTCATACTCGAGCAACAACCTTAAATTCCTCTGGACTGTGAGGCATTATCAGAGACAGGACACACAAGCGCTAGATGGTAAGCAACGAACCACGGTAATCTACAACAACCAGCATTTGGCACAGATCACCACCCACTCTGCTTGTCCATGTCCCAAAACGTTTTAGCACCACACAGCCAGACTGCAGATACATGAGAAACAATGTTGCTGCTCTGGAAGGGCAAGACACACTGGCCAATAGAAAACTAAATCAGCTATCCAATATACTTCTTAATGACCTCATCACCAAGATCCAAAGTTACATCTGGCAGAACCAGGGGAACCAAACCACCCGGTGCTGATGAGCTGGAACAGTTTGTGGGGCAGCACTGCAGCATTTGGGTTAGAAAGCAAAGGTTATATCCAAATGAAATTACAGGGGAGAAGTTAAAAGGACAGAGCAGATTCTCCAGCACCAGAATTTATTCATGACATTAAAATAATCAGTATTCTAAGAGAACTTTAAGATAATTCTTAGGCAGTTTCTTTAAATATAAACTCTGGTTTTTAGAACTAGATCAGCTAAATTTTAAGTCAGCCTTACTGGTAACCTCTAAATATTAGAAATCCTCAATGTCTTTTGTTCACTTCCTCTGCTTTTCTTTTGCTTTTCCTTTAGAGCCCTGTACCTGGCTCTGTAACCATGCCACACGCATGCCTGCCCCAATGTTATTAACATCTTATTAAGCTGAGAGAGAAAATGCATGAAGAAATAATTGTATTAAGTGACTCTCAGAGTTTGTAAATTAATCACCATTGTGCATGCCCTTGGATCAGGCTGCCAGAGGCATTAATCATCTAATCTTTGCTTTTCACTTGAGAGCTCTCAATGTTTGCTCCCAGAATTTGACTGGGCAGCCTAGCATGAACTTTTCCCTAGGGGCGGTGGTAGCAGAGGAACTAGGAAAAGAAGAGGTAGCAGGAGGGATTTCCTGTTACTGGAATGACAATCTGAGAACTCAGCTGTGGTCCAAAGAAAGAGCTAAGAGCCTTTGGGCTCATATTTACTAGCAGCTGGTCTGAAAGGAAGGGTCATATCTGAAATCAAGTGCAGTAGGTCCCATTTTAGGCAGTCAGTCTCAAGATGTGAACTCATGGGCAAGACCCACATGACTGGCCCAGAGGTCCCAGTATCCACCAGAGGCTGGGCAACTTACATCAAGGTGAAATCATAAGTGTTGGGTTTACTGTGTGAAAATACATGCATGGCTGTCATCCTCCACCATAGGCAAATTTAATGCAGTTGTTCTGGACTCAATCAAGCTGCCAAAGCAGCCCCAGGCAGGCACTCTGAAGGTTCATCTTACAAAGACCCCAAGAGATTGGCACAATCAGGACTGAAGTTGCTCTGGCTCTACCAGTGCTTTATATAGTGTAAAAGCAAGTGGCAAAAGGCCAGATTTTGTCACTTCAACCTGCAGGCTGGGATGCTTGCCTCCTCCAGCAAGTACCAAGAGACATACTCTGGACTAGGTCCCAGGCAATATGCTCCATGGTTCCCAATGAGTCTTCTCTGGACAATATTTAAAGAGGATCAGGAAGTGGAGAAAAGTAAGCAAATGGAATATGGAATTAGAGCGACAAATCCCTCTAACCCTGTAAACAGCTCCTACTCTCAGGCAGAGTATGGCTCATCAAACCATCCTCAGAGTGTGAGCTTGCAAGAATTAACACCTCATGGCTGCCTTAACAAGACAATCTCATATCCTGATTTTTGGCTGCCTTCTTCTCACTGCTACCCTGCAGTGCAGCTGTAGCACTTACCTACACATAGACAGAGTAATACATAAAAGGACTGAATATGGAACCACCTGCTCCCCATGGACCATTAGCAAGTAGTCTGCCCTTCTCTGCTCAAGAGCTTTGCCTGGGCTTATATATATCCAGCAACTGAAGCAAAGGGACTTTGTTTCATCCCCTGAAGATCACTCCACCACTGCTTACAGCAATCTAGAAGTCCTCTTTCCTGCTCGATGGGCACCATCACATTCATGTTAAAGACCATCATTCTGAGACATTGTGTATTCTGCTCTCAAACTCAATGGGAACTCTGGGAACTCAACAAAGATGGACCTGCATCTTGGCAGGAATGACTGAAAGGAAAATAAGCAAGTTAACAATGATGACACTGGAAGGGAAAAGAAAGGGACTGTGTTCAAGAAGTTTCTGAGAGGAACCAGATCTGAGCTGGACACAGCTCCATACTAGCCTGCAGAGATATTAAGTGAGATCTTTTCTGGTCAGAAGAGGAGGGGAATATACATTCCTAAACATAGATTATTTTAGGGAACATTTAATAACCTTCTTACTGGAAGCAGACTGTTCATTTTAAGGGAGGGTGGTTTCAAGATCACAGCCTATCCAGTCGCAGAGACACCAGGTGTGAATGAGAGGCATATCTCTAGTGTTTATCTCCTGGCAATAATTTGAGGTGCAACAAATGGCAGTATTTACTGGAAGCTTTAGCATATGCAATTTCATCCTCTTTTGGGGAAAAAGGTTTGAAAAAGTCAGCTGTGTGTTCCAGTTGTTGGTTTGCCTTATCTGCTGGAGTACTTGACTAATATGCATTACATTCAAAACATAAACACAAAGGTGTTGTTGCTTACCTGTTGGGTTGGGATAGTTGATTGCTGGAAGAGGAAACAGAAAAACAAGTCAGAACAGCTCGTACTTCCTCAAATCACAAATCACAATCAAACTCTGAAAATAAAACAAACATATCAAGAAAGGTCACAGACGCACAAGTCTCCTGGCAGCATCCCTGTGAAACAGCAGTGCTCAGTGTCTGCCTTGGTGATGGAAAAAGATGCTAACGCTCTAATCCAAGCAGCAACAGACCTTAAGAAACCCCCACCTAAGGAGTGAGTGATCCTGGGATTACATTGGGGAACCCTTCTGGCAACCCAAGCAGTTTCCTTCTGGAGCACCCAGTGCGATAGCACCCACTTAGACACCAAAGCTTGGTATCTAAGAGAGAAATCGAAACAGTTTGACACACTGTGGAAGTTTAAGATGACAGGTATGCTGAGGGCAACAGACATGTTTTCAGTCCACAGGATAAGAGGATTGTATGCAATCATGCAAACATAGGAGGAGACGGGTCTGTACTTTCTGCTGAAATATAAGGTCCAAACTCCTAATGGTAGTAAAGAAATCACAGAGTTGTGGAAATGGAGAGAATTCTGAGCTGTTGGGATGCTGGGTCGAGAAGTATGGTCAATGTGTATCAATGGGATGGTTTGGGAGTCGTGGTATTGGATAGAGCTACAGATTTATTAGTGGTTAGTTAGGAAAGGAATCATGCATTCAGCTCTGGAAAGAACTGAAGCCTTCTGAAATCCTCTTATTTTTATGGGATTGTGACTAATACATAGCATCCAGTGGTTGTCCTCTAATACACCACTGTACCATGGGAAACTGCAGCATGGCCTGATGGGGCACTGAGGTTTTGGGGGTCTTCTGCCCACAGAGTGGAAATTGTGAGTCAGAGCTGTTGAGTGATGGTTCAGTGGAGACTGACCCTCAGAAGTCTCTATTTAGTGCTCTGCATTGATGGCAACAGCCAAAATACAGTGAAATGTGATAGCACTGTGCTATCAAAACTCCTCAGCGCAGAGAGGTCCACCCAAGGGTGACAGAAGACCACATCTATTCAGGCCCATGTCCCTAGGCCTGGGGCTCAGACCTGTTCTTGTAGCCAGGATCGAGGAAGAGACACCTACGTTCCATGTACCGGATGATGCGGGCAGCCATATCTCCAGCCCCAAAACTGGTGATGGGTGTCAGGCGAACTTCATAGCTCTGAGGCACTTTCAGGTTGGGCAAGATGTGTTCCAGCAACAGGCCTTTCTCCATTTTCTTCACAGGAATGAAGGTTTGGATGGTGCTTCTCTGAGACAGCTGCATAGAAAAAGAACCCACAGTGTTATGAGAATCCTGAAGCTGGAAAGCTGAGCAATCCTATCCACCATCTAACATACTATTCCACCTGTTCCTATTGTTGCCGTGGGAGTTAGGTGCTGAAAAAATCTCCGGAGCAGTTAATTAGGGGTGAGATAAGAAAGGGTTTATTATGCCAAGGCAAAGATGTTACAAGACGCTCACCGGCAGTGCCTGAGATGTTACATTTTATAATACCATCCATCCAATCCCAGATGTTTCCACCCTGTGGCCTTTACTCCGGTCCGCCCGGGGTCCACCCCCTGAAAATGCATCTGGGGTGTATTTCAGGACCCTCTGTTCATCCCATCTTCATCTTCATCTTCATCAGAGCACAAAGGGTACATAGTCACCCAGTTTTTGACCGTGTTCTGTGGTTTAGGTCCTGATATGCTGTTCTGCCAACAATCTAGGCCTTGCCTTGACAAAAGACTAAACATTTCTGCTGTATTCAGGGGTAGGGGTGATATAGGGAGCATAGAATGGGGTAAGAGGGTTAAGGAATGTGTAAACAAGGGTGCTAGAGGGAAAGGGATAAGGGAGGAAGGGTTGCTGTTTTTAAAATCTACTTATAAAACTTACAAGTATTAGAAAAATAAAAAAACCATTAGGGGCTTAAGGCATCACTATAAAGACATGTACATCTGGTTTCTCCATGAGATCTTCATGGTTTGAAAATTCCAACCCCTGGTATAGAACATAAATCAGGAGACAGTTCCCCCTCAAGAGAAGCCTTGGGGTCCTCCTGACTCTAGGGACAAGTTGAACTATGGGTCCTGGAGAAAATTTGTGTCCAGAAAGAATGGTTTCAGGATGGGAAAAATGGACCCAACTTACCCCTATTAGTGCACCAAGGTCCTTGCAAACACAGCATGGCATTTCGCCAAGATACTCTGCAGTTCACAATCACTGCTGCAGAATTCATTCACTTGCTGCCTGGGCCCTGTGGCATTTCATTTGGTGCCTCACTGGGACTTGTCTACTACCATGCTTCCTCAGCAACCTTCCGTAGGATCCATCTTTGAATCCTAGCCCACACTGTCTCCGCAGACCAGAGTAAGGGATCTAGTTCAAGTTGGTGGTTGTCTGGAGTCAGTCACAGGCTTGCTCTTTCTCTGATGCCCATTGGAAGGAGCTGAACCCTACCAGTTAAACATTGTTCAGTTTGCTAAGGCAGCAGGGAATTTTCAAGAAAACAATGGGAAAAATATCATTATCAAAATCACCACCACTAAAAATGATGAATTATGTGTCAGTGAAACTTCCCTGCCATGGTCATGCTTCCTTGGTGGAGGAAGGATAAGAACGAGGACTGCATTTTGAAGATACAATTTCCTGCCTGTTGCTGTGCGGTGCCTGGATCCTTGTGGCAAGATACATTACTGAGGATGCTGGTGCTGGTAAAACGACTTTTGGCAGGGCTTTCCATGATCCAGTGTTCACTGTCCCTGACACTAAGCTTTCTCTTGCCTCTGATATATCCTCTAGGTTGACAGTTTCCATCGCAAAGGCAATTTTCCTGACAGGCTGTCTCAGTGTTGGTCATTAACACTGAAGTTACAGGATTACTGGAACCAGGATGCATGGAGGAAGGTTTACAGCAAATCTGTCAGTGTAGAGAGTGTAGGGCAAGAAGATGGAGTGAGGGCACAGTAGGAGCAAAGGCCATCAGCAAGGCAGGGCTGGGGAGCAATGCAGATGTGGCACTTTGTAAAAACAAGTTCATTCAATCCCTCCTCTGCCCTCACAAATGTAAGTTCGAACTCAGAAGCAATGGCTGCCACTGGAGAGCTTCCTGTGCCACAGCCCTGTTCATTTCCAACACAGTCAGGAGCCAACAACCCATCTCCTTGATCAGCCCATAGTTTGGACGGTGCTTCGAAGTGAAGGGGCAGCACTGGACCAGATCCTGTGCTGGGGCAGGACCTGGGAACCCATGGCTGCATGTGGTTCTCACAGTGAAAAACAACTTTGCACCTGGCCTTACAGATTGTACCTAAAAGAGACTTTTGTACCTGAGCAGATCAGGGTGCAAGTTGCTTTAAGGACCTACTTTCTGCACCCTCCTCCTCATCCCTGGGCAAGATGGGTCAGAGAGCTGGGAGCTGCTTTCCCGCAGCTTGGTGCCTTCCTGAAAGGTGCCTGGGAGGAGTCCTAGCAGGCAGGACCAGGGCAGGGAACCAAGCATGAACCAAGATGCTGCCAGGATCCATCCGTATCAACAATGCCTCATGTGTGCTTGCAAGCTGGCATTCCTACTGCTCAGCCCTCCCATCTGCCAGCCTTCCATACCACTGCTCTGCCAAGCAATGGTAAAGCTGACTCCCAGTGGCAGCGACTTCACCTGGGATCATTAGCACCAGACCCCTAATTATCTGGGAGAAGAGGAGCAGCCACAAGCCAGAAACAGAAGGTTGGAGTGGTACAGCTGGCATAGATGTTTTGGGGAGTGGAACCTCACTGGGAGGGCTGGCAGCAGCTCCTCCCCACAAGCTGCCATGAGCTGGGGTGCTGAGAAGGCAGCCAGCAAACAGGAGGAGGTCAGAAGCCATTTTCCTCATCTAGACATAACCTTTGGAAGAGAAACAAAATGGGAGAGTCAGAGAGAAGCCTGGGGGTGAGATTCAGACAGTGCAAATTTCACCTCAGCTGGGATTTAAGTGGAATTTGGGTATCTAAAGCCTCTGGGAGCAGTGTCAAATCATGTACTCTCCCGCATCGTCTAATCCAGGACAAACTATGAAATCAGCCTCCAGTCTGGACTGCAAAGCTCTAGATCCCCCACTTGAGTCTATCCTCAGGGACTTGTGGGTTAAATCAAATAAATATCTGGCTGCCACCAAGGTTTGGCTGTGAAACAGAAATTAATAAGGGCACATACGCTTCCTATGGTTGCAACTTTCCTGCTTCCCAAAAGAGACCCGGACAACTAGGTAATGGGAAAGGCACAGCTGGGGCCCAGCAGTATCTCCTCTTGGTGTACAGAGGGAAAGTTTTAAGAGAATCTTTTCCCTCCATCAAATACTTCATAGCCAAATCTTCTCTCAGCCTATGTCCTGTCTCTATTCAATCTGCAACTTGAACCTACACAGAAACTCACTGCCAGAAAGGCTGCCCTCTGCACATCCTTAGTATGGTCCCTACAGTCCTGGCATCATAACAGAATGTCTTTGGATGTCTTTGGAAAGACTGGCTCTTCTCTGTGAAAGGCAGCATGGGCCAAACATCTCCCCTGAGCCAGCTGCAGCCGTCAGTAGAGAGAGCCAGGTGCACTGCCAGCACAGTTTAAAGGGCACGTGCCAGGGAGAAAAAGGGGGCAACTCCAGCCAGCCGCTTGCTGCATGCATGCAGAGCAGGTGCTGGCTTGTAGTCACTAGCACAGATCCAGCAGACAGAGACATTAAGGCCAAGGTCTGCCCCCCTCCCTAAATATCCTTTGCCTCCCTTATTGCCAGCAGCAGGTCTGTGCAGAGCTGCATGCATCGGCCCAGTAGGAACCCATTTTTCAATCCGCTTCAATTGCCAGCTGTTGCCCTTTCTCCCGCTCTGTGTTCTCTTCTCCCATTTTATCCTGTTATCTTCTTCCTTCCACCCCCTTCTCAGCCTCCCTCCTCCTGATCATGTTGACCCAGTGCTCCAGTTTAATATTGCTGTGGTGCAGTTAATAAAGCAGAGGCAGGCGCAGAGGACAAGGAAACACTGGCCGCCTTATTAGAGATGCTGAAGCCTCAGTGGAGGATCTCATGCAACAAGCTCATTCATCACCAGGCTCGAGAAGCTGCCAACAGGGCCAGAACAAGAGCACTGTGCAATGCACAGCCTCGCCTCTGCCTTCACCTCCTTTCATTTCCAATAAAAAGAGGAAGGGGATGGGAAAGGAAAAAAAACCAAACAAACTCACAGTTTCTACCAGCTGGCTGTGAATATCCCACAGGCTGCAGAGGTGAGAACATTCTTCCAGAATGAGTTCACTAAAAACACCTTATGAAGGGAAGAATCAGCCCCATATGGTACGTACGTATTCACATGCAGTGTATGCAACCTGTCCCTTTCCTCTGACACTTATAAGCAGTATTAGCAATCACGAGAGAGCACACTTACATGCTTATATGTACTTAGCCATCAAAGCTCTTGGACCTGCAAACTGGGACTGCCCTTTCTTGTGCCTCAGCATCACATTCTGTTGGTAGGTATTGCCTGTCCAGTCCCCTGTCTTATCATGTGAGCTGGCTTTTGACGCTTACAGAGTTTTTGTTCCACTGTGGCCAGCTGAGCCAGCTCATGGTCCAGGAATACAAATCAAGAGACTCAGAGAGAAAGCCAGGATTCCACACTACCCCTGCCCGCTGCTGGCACCTCAGCTGGGGCATTGTCACAGTAGAGGAGTCCAAGGTATTTCACTGCCACACCTATGTTTTATGTTTATATCAGCTATTAAAGGAAAAAAAGGATGATCTTTAAGCTAGGTACATATCAACTAGAAGACTCAGTAAAGCCAAAGGATATTAATAGACACATCTATCAAGAGTTCATGCTGCGGTTCTGCTCAACAAACCACACCAGGAATTCACAAGATTTGGTGTGACTTGTGTAGCCACACATGTGGTCTCACAACCAGCTGTACCTTTAGCTACTATGCATACTTGTTTGAGGGAGAAATTAGAAAGAAAGTCTTTCATCACCAAGCTCCAAGGAATCATTGCAAACACTAGCTAGAAAAATGCACATTAAAATCATGTAGAATCCCCAATAAGCTGATCAGAGCAAAGGAACTGCTCTGCAGGCATCCAGATTCCCAGCATTGCAATCCACTCTTGCCACTCTCTCCTTACGTGTTCTGCTTCTTCAGCAACTTCTCAGCTCAGGGCACAAGCACTAGCTCTGCTTTCCAGTATCTCCCATCCAAATCCTTTCCACACATACTCGCTGTCTCACCCTTTTTTCTCAGCCTCATTCAAATT